CTCCGCGCTCCTCCGGGAGGAACACGGCTCAGCGGCCCATCCGGGCGTCAGGGACTTAAATGAGGGCTCGCAGGGGACGTCGGCGAGAAGGAAGCAGCTGGAGCACCCGGCGACTGTCTGCATTTACCCGTAACATGGTTTTGACGTATTCGGAGAACACAGCCCAGTAGAGTCTGTTGCCACCGAAGGTGCGCCGCATGAAGAAGGCGCCCGACATGCGCAGCAGCTCCCCGATCATCTTCATCCCCAGGAAGTCTAGAGGGGAGGGGCCAGCATTGACTGCGGAGCCTGGGACGGTCCATAAGGACCTAACTCATGCTCTGCTAAGGAGGATCTCATGGACGTAAGGCACTCCTGTGACCTTCAGGATTGTAACTTCTGAGATCGAAGTCCCCAAGAAGAGACATCTCCTGGAATGATGGGGAGGAGGGGCTGCGTGGGCAGGTGCTCGCGGGGAGGGAACCTTGCACCCTCCATGCACCTCCGGGCTCACCATCAGACCAGCTGGAGCGGGGGAGGGGTTGGGGGGATGTTTTTCCTGCCAAGGGCCATGTGGATATTTATAACGACACTTCTGTGACCTTCAGGATTGTCACTTCTGAGATCAAAGTCCCTAAGAAGAGACATCTCCTGGAATGATGGGGATGAGGGGCTGCGTGGGCAGGTGCTCACTGGGAGGGAACCTTGCACCCTCCATGCACCTCGGGACTCACAATCAGACCAGCTGGAGTGGGGAGGGATTGGGGGGATGTTTTCCTGCCAAGGGCCATGTGGATATTTATAACATCATTCGCAGGCCATACACAATTATCCACTTAAACAGCCTGCTGCCCGGCCGGCGTGGCTCAGTGGTCGAGCGTCGACCTATGAACCAGGAGGTCACGGTTTGGTTCTAGGTCAGGGCACATGCCCGGGTTTCAGGCTCCATCCCCAGTAGTGGGTGATCGATACTTCTCTCTCATCATCCATGTTTCTCTCTCCCTCTCCCTCTCCCTTCCTCTCTGAAATCAATACCAATATATTTAAAAGAAAAAGGAAAGCAGGACCCCTTAGGTGGAGGGAGGCCTCTT